TATCCCTGGTGACGCTACCCATGGGATGTTCGGCGGTTGGGGTGTCCATCTCCTTGCCCCCCTATTACCAGATGGAAGAAAGGTATGAAGAAAAAGATTCACTCATAGAGATGATTGGTAGAGGCTTAGTCAATTGTACAGAATTGTGGGAGCCGATAGTGAAGAGATTCTCTAATGTTACCTTAAATAAGATGCCAGTATTAATGAAGCCAATAGAAAAGATTGATATGGATCACTTAAGAGATAAGTTAAGTGCGTTGGGAGACGAAGGTGTAGCTTGGGAAGACGATGAGCAGATCAAGATAAGTTGGTCAATAGTAATGGGTACATTCCTAGTTATAGCCATCGGGGTGTAATAATATGGAAGATTAAGAGTAAGAGAAGATTAGCGAACGACAGTCTAGTGAGCATGCAACAACTCGAGAGGAGATGCCGAGCAGTGTTCCTTACTCAGACAGGACTGGCGAAGAAATTGCTGAAAGACCAATGGAGGAGGCTGGCGTGAGACCACCACGTCTTAGCGGCGGAAAAACCTCCCACGGCAGAGAAAAACATTGACCAAGAAGAACAAACCCTAGTGAACACATCTGCACCTACAGACACACGCACACATTACCTTGCATGTAGAACAGAAGAAAATGAAAAGAACATTACATTGCATGTAGAACAAAAGAAAATGAAAAGAACATTACATTGCATGTAGAACAAAAGAAAATGAAAAGAACATTTCATTGCATGTAGAACAAAAGAAAATGAAAAGAACATTTCATTGCATGTAGAACAAAAGAAAATGAAAAGAACATTTCATTGCATGTAGAACAGAAGAAAATGAAAAGAACATTACATTGCATGTAGAACAAAAGAAAATGAAAAGAACATTTCATTGCATGTAGAACAGAAGAAAATGAAAAGAACATTTCATTGCATGTAGAACAGAAGAAAATGAAAAGAACATTACATTGCCTGTAGAACAAAAGAAAATGAAAAGAACATTTCATTGCATGTAGAACAAAAGAAAATGAAAAGAACATTTCATTGCATGTAGAACAAAAGAAAAAATGGAAAGAACATTACCCTTGCATGTTAGAAAAAGTAGAATAGAATTGCATGAGACAAATGCATGGTGCATGTTAAATGATGTAATTGGTTTAGGTGTCATTTACGGGTAAATGACAAATCGGTTAGGGGAGGATTGTGGCACCTTGCATTATTAGAAATATTCATAGAAATATGATTTAATTTTTTTTTACTCGGTTTATTAAACAGGTTGTTGATTTTTTTTTTAACGGAAAATAATTGAGTTGAAAATAATTCACTAAAGTTGTACTTAGACGATCCTAAGGAAAGAAGAAGGAAGGGGAAAAAAAAAAGGAAGAAAGGAAAAAAAAAGAAAGAGAGATGGATGATGCATGACCCAATCATAAGCGAAGAAGATAGGTGTCAGAAAGATATCTTGGCCATGTGTTGGCCGAATTTTAAAAGACAATAGAGAATTGTTATTTGAAATGAAAAATCATTTAGAGGGAAAAAAAGAACCAGGCTTGATGACAGTGTATTGGCGATTGATAAGAATATCGGTCAAAGCACCTAGCCTCCTTTTGCATGGAAGGACTCATTGTCAAATTGGAGAAAGGGAATTTTTTTAGAACAATAGAAACGAAATTTTAATTAATCGGAGAAAAAATTGTCTTTTTGGGTTGAGGGGAGTGACCGGTGGAACGGTATACAAATTCCTGACCTATTAAGAATTGGAAACCCACGATAAATAAAGTGGGGACATTTTCAATGTAGATAATTAAGATTTTCTGACTGTCAGGTCTGACAAAAAACAAAAGGTGTAAAAACGATTGTCTCAGCTCACAGATGGCGCCAATATTCTTTCCTGAAGTCACATCTAATTAGCGGCAGGCTGTTTTGACAGAGCCCAGGTGAGAAAAAAAGCCAAGATTGTCATTTTTTCGTACGTGCAAAAAAAGGGCAAAATTAGATTTTGTTTTTTAAACAAGAACGATGTAAGCCACGCCCGATTTGAGATGGAGGCGCCCAACCACAATCTCATTAGCCGAAAACGGTCACGTGATATGCGGAAAAGAAGAGGAAGAATGCTCGATCAGGAACCATTGGTCAAAAACGGTCACCTGACATACGAGAAACCGGGAGAGATGGGTGTACGCCTCCCCACCAAAGGCACTGTGAGGAAGTAGGGGTGAAAACAATAGCGATAATGAGGAAACAGAATTAATGCGGCTATTGGAATTATCGAGAAAACCCTGACGCCGACAGACCCACCCCGGTTTGTTGCGGCGTCAATAAAAGCAGGACCCCAGTCGACAGAAATCAGTTGAGTTGAGAGTTTCAGAGTTGCAGCTGGACCGCGGGCAGGGAAAGAGCCTGAACGCGGGCATCAGGCCCGATTCACTCGCCCCTTTGCAGGCAAAAGAATCCTCAGACAAGAAATCCTTCCAGCCCAAGTCGAAGACATGAGTTCAGCCCAAGACGGCAGCGAGAAGAGAAAGCCTCGGACGACAGAGAGTAGCCCAAAGTCGATGGCAAGAAATCCTTCCACCCAAGTCGAAGACAAGAGAACTTCCAGCCCAAGTGGACAAAGAAGAAGATTACCTCGAAAGCCGCAGAGAAGATCCAGCCCAAGTCAAGACAAAGAGAAGTTCTATCTAAGTCAACGAAGAAGAAGAAATACAACTCAAGTCGAAGAGAAGAATCAACTGCGAATGATCGATAGAAATTAGCCCCAGTGTCGAACTAAACCACACTCCGACATACATAATTCTAAAGAGTAGGCAATTCGAAATTTTTAGATTGTGTGATAGAAGCTTGGTGCCATAGTCCACAAAGCGGGTCGGGAAATAAGAAACAATTTTTTTTTTATGTAACGGACATTAGATATAAAAGGTTGTCACCCTTTTTATCAATAATTTTTTGTCTCGTGAGTTTTTTTTTTTTTCTTTACTTGTGTTTTGCCACCCCTGTCGGACTCAACTTGTATCGGCCCCAATCCCTGCTGGTCCCGTCTGTCTAAGATCTAAACACAGCGTGGGTAGACAGACCGGAGATCAGTACAGTTGCTTTAGTAACCAGGTATTGGAAGCGAGTTGGGAAAGGCGAGGCTGGTGATCATCCAACCAAAGGGGTGGAGCAGCACGCTTGGACCCAGGAGGAGCGACCAGGAGGAGCGACGTCACCGTTGGCGCCGTAACCAAAGGATTCGACCCTGGGCCAGGTGTGTAACCGTCACATGTGGTGCCGTGACCAACGGATCAACCCTGAGACAACCACGTCACAAGTTCATGGAACACAGCAAGGAGTTTTCTTGTTAAAGTCACCAGGTCTCATTCCTATAAAGTACCTTTGGGATGATTTTCAACTGGGTATGTCAATTTTTTCACTTTTATAACTAAACTAGCAGTATAACTAGTAGTATAACTAGTAGATTTGACTGGGTCTTTCATTAGTGGGAATTTTTGCCATTCAGTTGGAGCAGTTTAAGTTTGAAGTCAGCCCACTCGAAAATTAATATTAGTAACAATAGTTGAGTGCAACTGAGGCACATCCCCAAATGGGGGTTTAACAATTTGAATGGGGGTGGTGGCCCTGAAAAGGGCCGTTTTTGTGGTTTCAATCTTGTTTTAGCCTCACAGTTGAAGAAGAGTTTCTCCTCAGCAGTTTGGTCCTTTGATTATCATTTTCAGCCTTGCACACAAAAGCGTTCAGGTTTGTTCTTCTGGAAAGCTGATGGCTATGTTTGATCTTTGGACTCAGTGGCTCTGATTAAAGCATTTCGAGAGGCATTTTGAGACAGGCAAACTGAATGTTCTAAAGATGATTCGTTATCTCTTATTTGCATGGCGGACCTGGCAGCAGCAGTTTTGCAACGTAGGCAAGTTCTTTTCTTTGGTGGCATGTCTTAGCCAAGTATGAATTGTCAAATGGAATGCATGGTCAAATACAGAGAATGCTGTAAAGCTACAGGGATCACTAAGCTCAAAAACTTTAGGAAAGGTTGGAAAAATAAATGTTGAGTAATAAAAAACAAGCTTACTTATTACTACGTTGAATGCAATGCCAAAACTGGCAAGACAATAAAAAAAATTGGGAATGGCTATAAACGATAATGAAAGCAATGCCTTAAAACTGTAGTAGTAGGATTTATGCAACGGAAAAGGTAACCTCACTTGAGAGAGATTGAACATTTGGTCAAAAGAAGTGTGAAGCGATGTTTTCAGTCAAGAATTAATTTTTTTTTTAATCATTTCCCACCAAGCAAGGTGAGAACACCACTAGAATGCCAGGGGTTAGTGGGAGTGAAAGAAAATGGGACACTGTTAGTGAAGAGAAAGGACAATAAAAAGAAGAGGTTTTATAGGGACAGAAGATGGTGATTGATGTTGCATTTAAATGTTTGGAGACCATATTTGACAGGGAAGCTGGAAGAGAGTTATACAAGCAAGAAGTGTGAGAGAAGAAACTATTAGAAAAGAACTTATAGTTACAACATTAAGATGATGAGACCTAACTGCCAATCTAGTATTGCATTTAAATTCCTAAAGTTGAGTTATCAAAGAGGAAAGCTCATCAAAACAATTACCATGAAAATATTTACAGAAAGAGCACAGGGTAGCTACATTACAGCAGTGGGAAAGTGACTGAAGCCAAGATGCTAGGTCAGGACCAATAATATTGCAGATTCTTCTTTGGATTTATAAATATCTCAAGATATATAACAGGATTGTCAAATCAGATGTGGCAGCAATATTCAATATATGGAAAAATGGTATGTTAAATATGCAATTTGCATTCTGGTGAGAAAAATTTTCTGGTGTTACACTGAACCAAATTTCTTTGCATTGGACTTAGAAACTGATTCAATATAATTGTTCCACATCATGTCACTGTGAAACATGAGATTGAGGAGATGTAAAGTGTTGCTCTCTCGGAGGTTGGCATCATATATAAATAAATATGAGATTACAATCATTACTTACGAAACTATTGTCTTAAGTCGTTCAACGGAGTTGTCAGTCAGAGCAAATGTTTGGGAATCCTCATGCAGCATCATTCCCAAAAAGTCAAGCATTATTTCAAAAGCTTTCAGAGCACGTGTCTTCAATTCAGGTGAACTGCAGATTTGCTGAAAGAATAAATTAGTAAATTTATATCTCTCTCTCTCTCTCTCTCATTTCGTATGTGTGTGTGAGTGTGTGTGTGTGTACATATATATATATATATATATATATATATATATATATATGGGGAAATGATATATAAAAAAATATATAAAAACAATTTTAGAAAAAACAATTACAAAGTGGAAAAGGTTTTTCATTTGACAGGTTTCATCTTTTAGGACTTCACTGGACTAAAGTGATGTTTCTGCTGATGTAACTACAGATTCATACAAAGGAAAGGTAGTAAAAATTCAACAAACTTTCTTAAGTGTTAGAAACACAAATATATATTACACAATAAAGATGAAGTTTATCATTCATGTATTTGTTATTTTGAAGAAAACTTTTATAGAGAAAAAATATAAGGTTAAATTTAAGTGAAAAGTTTGTAACTAATTTTTTAAGAAAAATTTTAAGTAAAATTCAAAGTGAAAAAACCAAGATTCCTAAATTACATTTTTTTAGATAATTTCATGCACAAGATGTTTGTTTTTGCAATAAACATAAACCGAATAAGCAAGTCCATTGGAAATAAAATAATTAAATCTTATACTTTTTCAATTACATAAGCTAAAGTTATTCAAAGTGTAAAAGCAAATATTTCTCTGGATTTTTTAAGCTTTCTAGAGCAACAAACAATTGCAAATCCAAACTGAAAATAAGTGGAAATAGGAATTTTTGAAATAAGTGTTCAGTTCTGGCACTTAGTTACACCATGAGTTGGGCTCTAGTATAGAATATCATGGATCCAACCCAAACAGCAAGCACTCTGAGGAGGCAGTCATCTTGTTATTCTTTTCTGACAAGGAGAACATCAATCAGTGATAGAACATGAACAACAAAAAAAGACAAGTGACCCAACATGGACCCCATGGCGGTATCTACAGTGATGCACACAAAAACACATGTCATCTTTGATGGTCCCAGGAGTTGTGAACAATGAGAACCATATGATGCCACCTCACTTCTTCCCAGACCTCAATACCACTACCTACATCAGAATTTGGCTGTATCTGTTCTGATATGACTGTTCATTTATCACATGATCGATATGTCCCAGAAGTGGCTAGCTGTTAATTTTCACAATTATCTACTGAAAACATCATGAAACTCTCCTTTATTTGAATTCCTTGGACTACTAGACCTGAGGCAAAGCAGTCAGTTAACCCCAGATTTACATAATGTTTCTTCAACTTTCTTCATAAAAATCTGTACATGGTTGCTTACTTTCAACGTCTTCATCAGTAAACACAGTGGAGCATGACCAGTTCTGTCCAGGCAATCTATTAGGAAATAACCTGTAAGCATGAATATAAAAATTGTTTATTATTTTTGTTGTCATTTCCCAAGAGCAAAGAACATGTATAAATTCACTTTCATTATATGTTTAGGTTTTATTACAATTCTAATCAACACTTTTTAAAAAAATAAACATTACTGATGATTGAAGGTAGTTAAAATAGTAGTGTTATGCAAAAAAATGTCCTTTTGACAATTCATTTTTTGTGGGCCTAAAACTTAAAAATTCCCAATTTTTTTTATAGATTATTAATCCTTTTGAGGTTCAATTAAGAAAAATAAACTTGACTTAATTTTTCCCTAAATAAAGAAATTACGAAAAATTACTTAGGATAATGATATTAATATCATTAAACTTGTTTCAATCTTTCAGAAAATATTTTTGATGTAGAAAAACTAACAAGATCATCTAATTACCTCATTATGGTATGTTTCATAATTTGTATCTGAGAATAAGGTCAATCAAATATATTCCAATGTAGTCAAGAAATAAGAACATCACTGCATTTATAATAGGAGAAATGTTTGCATAAAAACTGATGATAATAATATATTCTGCAATTTTTAAAAGGATTATAATTTATGCAGGCTTTGAATACTGCTGACACATCTGGTCTTGTACTTCTGCTATGTATTTAGAGATTCTTCATAAAACTCAAAGAAGAATCTGCAATGTTATTGATCTTGATCTGAAATCTTGGCTTCAGTCACTTTTTACTGCCATAAGGTAGCTTCTTTGTGCCTTTTCTAAAAATACTTTTAGGTAATTGTTTGGATAAACTTTCCTCTATGGTATTTAGACTTTATAAATTTAAGCTCAATACCCAATGGACAGCAAAGTCTCATCATTTTGCAGCTGAAATGCTTAGATGCAATTGTCAGTGCTAACAGTTTCTACTTGTTTGTGAAACTCCCTTCCAGTTTTTTTGCTTACTAGACAACTTTGATCTTCAAAAATTTAAATGGAATTATCAATCATTATCTTCAGTTTTCTTAATTCCTATTCATTTATTGTTCTCTCTCCTTAATGTTTTTTTCTCATATTCACTCACTCTCAGTAACCTGTTGCATCTTAGTGGCTCTATTACCTTGCTTGGGGTGAATTAATAAAAAGATAAATTCATGAGTTGATTAATATTTTGATCTTATTCTTTTTGTTATGACCACATTTCAACTGATCAATTTTTCAGATTTCTTCAGGTGAACACTCAGAATGTGTAACATTTGTGTGTATGAAGTAGAAGAGAGTAAGTTCATTTTAGGGATTAGGGAAAGAAAGAAAAAGAATTTCAGTAGTAGGCAGGCCCACTTATAGAAAATGATGTGACTAATCAGTTTAAATTCTGGTCTATCTTCTTTAAAAAAAAGTCCAAATTATAAGAGGTTTTAGGTTCAGACAAATCTTACATATCTATAAATTTACCATTTATCTTTGCTTTGAATATTGCTGCCACATATGGTCTGATGCTCTTGCTATATATTTAGAAGAAGAATAAATAATATTATTGGTCCTGACCTGGCAACTTGGCTTCAGTCACTTTGCCACTGCTCTAATGTAGATTCCCTGTGCCTTTTCTATAAATACTTTCGTGCTAATTGTTCAAATGAATTCTTTGCTATAGTACCTAGACATTATGAATTTAAGTGCAGTACTAAATTAGCGGCAAAGTCTTATCATTTTGCAGTTGAAATCCCAGATTCAACCATAAGTTCTATAAGTAATAGTTTTATCTATCACACATCTTGCTTGTAAAACTCTTCTGGCTCTATGTTTTCCAGTTAAATTTGATCTTTAATAATTCAAATGCAATGTTAATCATTACCTACAGTCTTTTTGATTACTCTTCTATTGTCTTGCTCCTTAATAATGTTTCTCTTTTTTATTATTCTTTCACACTCGGTAACCCTTTGTATCTTAGTGGCTTTACTTCTGTGCATGGGGTGAAAAAAAAAACAAAAAAAATCATTCACTCTTCTTTCCAATAAGAATTGCCTGTCATTTAAAAATGTCATATTTAGGTATGTATCTCCAAAATCTTTCTGAAAAAGATCATACCATAATTAAAAAAGGTCCCAAACTTAATAAAAACCATGTTTTATCATTAAAATGTTTATATTTTTATTAAGAGGAAAGATCAAAGTATTTTTTTATTATTTTATTAAATTTTTCAATCCTTTCTAGCACATACTAAATTTTGTTATAAATCATGTTTTTCTTGCATCAACGGCTAGGCCAAGATTACTAATAGAAAACTTAGTGTCTTTTTATGGTAAAAACACTTTTTTTTATCAAATAATTATCAGGTTTTAATGAATTTTTTAGGACCTATTCACAAATGAATGAAATTATTTTTGAAATCTTTCATTTTAGAAAATCTTAATAAAAATGTATTTTTTTTTTACATCTGTTACTCCCACTAAATTTTATGAAATATCAAGAAATTAAAATTCCAGGTTTTTCATATTTATATTAGTTAAAAGCAGGACTTTTTGGAGAATTAAATCATCAATTTGTTTTTGTCAAACAGAAACACTGTTTAGCAAAAATCTGGTCTGAATCATAAAATAAAAAATGCAATAAAACTATGACATTATTTAATTAGAAATGCTTTTAATTGCTTTTATGAATAAGATATATCAAGGCTATTATTGTCTTAATGATTTTTCTTTTTTTGATGAATAATTAATTTTTACAAGAATTGTTTCAATTTTTTTAAAATTTTAATTAGAAAAAATTATTAAGTCTTAAATATCTTTAAATTTTGTATTTTCAGCCTTTTAGCCTGAACCTCTTGACTGGGGATGGGGTTGCCCAAAACTGATCGGGGGACCTGGGCAGTGCTTTGTGGCCTTCAATATCTTACCATCATTTTCTTTTTTTTTGCCCACATTTAGATATGTCACAAATTAAACAACTGACTATTAAAGGATGATAAATTTTAACTGATTTTGTAAGCCATCCTGGTGGGGTTTTTTGTCAAATCTGTGAAATTGTTTTGCTCATGCTGTCTTGAGACAACACAATATAAAATTAACTATTTTTTATCCACAATATTGTATGTGTTAAAATTCAACTTTTTGACAAGAAAAGTTTCAAGTTGATGTTAAAAATTGCTGCAAAACATTATTGATTTATTTAAAATGGAATAATCTATTATGACATGTCTCTAATTTGTATGTAAATACATCATATAATGTATTTATTTTCAATTTTTCTTGTTGAATACTTTACCTATACTGCATACGATCCATTATTATATATAATTAAATTACAACATAATTAAATAAAACTTAGAATTTTACATTAATACTACCTTATAAAAATTGAGATATAGTAGAGTGGAGGACTCTGTATCATGGATTGGAGGGGGGCATATCATAAATTCAGGATTATGGAGGAGCACAAGACCCTTGAACCAGCATAGCAAGTTCTCTTTTGTAATATTTCATTCATTCTCTTCAAACCAGCTGTCCAAGTCCATATTCCTAACTGTCTGCACTAAATGTTGTTGGAGATTTTTCATGTTTCTGAAACATGATAGATAGATATCCGAGACATGAAATAAGGAAGTGTACTCTGTTTCTTGTAGGTATTTTATTCAGGGTGTCACCTGTACGTCTGAGTGGATAGGTAGATGATACTTGAGACAACTTCTGCAATATCAGATCTTCCTCTTGCCAACTGCTCTTTCATCAACTCATCCCATCCATCTACTCATCTACTCATTCCATGTGGCTGGCATGACAAAGTGAGGGTATTGAAATGTCAGCATAAACACATCTATTTCCTTCCAGGAGTTGACCAATAACTCCTTATACGTCAATTTACTTCTGTATTACTCATTGATCAAAATGGATGTCACTTAGAAGACCAAAACTTCAAAAGGAACTATCTGCTGGTCCATTAAAAAGAAACACTTTCTTTGTGGGTGTCCATAGTATCACAGAGCAAGTGGGTGACAGGTTACTCCTAAAAGGAGTTTCTTCTACCAAATCTTTCCAGTGAGAATTTTGGCCCCTTAGTGAACATGAAAACCTGAAGCTGCTAGAAATTGGAAGTCTCTCTCTCTCTCTCTCTCTCTCTCTCACACTCTCTCTCTCTCTGCAGATTAAGTAAAAGTTCAAGGTTTAATTTCCTGAAGATTACCTGGATTAACAAATACCTAAAGAAAGACAGAGCATAATGGCTGAGATATGATGATAACAACAAAAACTGAGGACAATAGTCCAAATGTAAATGAAAGAAATAAGTAAAGGATTATGTAAAAAAAAAAACTAATGGCAAAATATTGGTCCATGTAACAGATTTGGTTGGGATTTAGAAAACGAGATTTTACTTACCACTGGATATAATTATTGAAGCCATCCAATTTTTCATAATTTCCAATCCAGTCTCTTAGAATTGTTTCAATATAAAAACCTTTAAATAAAAAATAACATTTTCTGCAATATAAAATTTATTTATGTATTTGTTTGTTTAGTGACATATCAACTCTTTATGGGTCATTTAATGCCAAAATTTAATTTTCTTGGGAGCATTAATAATTTCTTTTACAAAAATGCATTGCTGGTAATATTTATTCTCTTTTTTTCTTAATTTTATTTTTACAAAAAGATATTGCTAGTAATTTTTTTACTATGAAAAATGTATTGCTGGTATTTTTACTGTAAAACATTTTATACTTTCATAGGGTCTTGACCCCAGGTTGGGGGGTTAACTATTTCCCTATAGCTGGGACCCTAACAGGTTTTACCACCCCAGGTCATGGTGGACCTAGGAACAACAGCAATCGAGTGGTGGTTCCATGCTCCTCAAATCCTTCAAATCTGAAGTCTTGCTGCCAGATGTAGTTTATTGTCATACCCAGGACAGATCTAACTATAAAATTTATGAATAAGTTCAAATGTACCTCCACAGTTTCGCTAAAAAGTAACCATAAATGATAAAAAAAAATGCCCTAAATTTAATAAAAACAAAGTTTTATCATCAAAATCTTTGCGTTATTATTAAGAAGAAAAACCAAACAATGTTTTCATTATTAAATTATATTTTTTTATCCTTTTTAGAATGTTCAAAATTTTGGCTAAAATTTTCTTTTTCTTGTACTGATGAGGAACCAATGATTAGTAA